TCACACTTGGCAAATGGAAATAAATCACCTACCCTCCAGAGAGTTTCATGACGATCAAAACAAAATGTTTAAGAGCAAGATAAAACCATACAGACTGTAAGAATAGGCACTAGCCATGGACCTCACTAAAGACAGACGGCAAAGTAATCACTGTGGAAGCACAGTGGTTACTTTATTAAATTGTACATTATTTTCAGTCCTTCTGGGCAAATAAAAAAAAAGTGACTTATTGTTTATTAATTTCAAGGGTCCGATGAGACAAAGTATAAAAGCACGTAGGATACCTGGCATATATTAAATGGTCAATAAATGTTATCTATTATCATTACCTTCTTAATTGTTTAAATGTGGCAGTATCAGGCATAGTGGTTACTTTCTGTGCACTGCAGCTATCCAGACACTCAGCTTTAATGAGCTCCATCCACCTAGGCTGACTAGAATTCAGAAAAATACAAAGTGGCAGCACTTAGGAAAGAGACAACGAGGTATCTCAGCCACCTGCATATTTCATATAATATTATGAAGAAATTAGATGTCCCCTCGGCCTCCAAATAGGTCATAATCCATATGAACTGACCCAAGGCAACTTGTGGGTTTACTTCTTAAATAAACAAAATTTCCTTATGAGAAATGTTTACCTTTTTTTAGGAATTACCATTAATTAGACCGCATTTTAAACTGCATTTTTTAACTTATTTTTATTTTTAAACTTGTTCTTGTCCTATATAATATCCCCTCATCTCCAAAGATCTCTACTCTTTAGAAGCAGACAGCTGAAATACATAGAATTAGGTAGTACTTAATTCATAGATAACATGTGTACCATCAAAGAGAAGTGTAAATACACTTATATGGCTGCAGTGTTATTGTTACTCATTACCATGCCAACCTAAAATACCTGAGGAGGTGACTATAATTTAACTTATAAACGAATACACAATACCCACTGTCAAAGCTAAGGAATCTATAAATTATATCTAAATATAAATTTATATATAAATCTATAAATTACTTATCTGTCTACAGCAAAATGCTTGATAAATTTAAATCGTTCAAGCTACTTTAGGTATATGCTTACAATGTTCATATTTTCTTGTACTTCGGAGTCAAAAGAAGTCAATATACATAAAAATCAGTTGAAAAGTAGAGAAAATACCCAAATTAAAATGAGGATGAAAATCTGAGCCATCATTTACATGAGGCAGAAGAACTTTTGATTTCTCATTTTAAAACAAGACTATCGTAAAACTAGCAACAGATTTTTGGTAGACTATTTCTTCTATTATTATACATTAACAATTAAATAATATCCTCCTCCTCCTCTCTTAACTAAAAAGGATGATTGCAATATGCCTGCCTCACTGGAGTGTTTTGAGACTCAATATTTGTAGATTTTTGAGCCTTGTGGCTGAAAGAGTGAATACAAAGTATTATAATCAAGAATAGCGATATAAAAACAAAGATGGTTTAAGATAATAGAAAATTACAAGTGGCACAATGCCATACTACCCCTGAGGACTTGTTCTTTCAGAGTACATACTCTATGAAAGGTCACTGTGGGTGAAAAAAAAACCCCACAGGGAGTTCAAGTAGCCTACAATGCAATATTAGTAATTAAGGAAGTGGTATTCTTCCTCTATATTCATTTGGGAATCATTTCTACTAATTAAGAGAAAAGGAACAGTGATTTGTTAAAAATGATGGTTACAGAAAATTCAATCTGAATTCCAACAGCCTGGTTACAAAGGAGAATACTGTAACACTGAACAATTTTTTTAATAAGGGCAAACTACTATACAAGCCATCAAGTCAGTACTCAACTATCTTCCAAAATAATATACTCCTAAAAATATTTTCCAGAATAATCTGTTCCTAACACAATGTTGAACTATAGCACTGCAAATTCAAATTTAATTAACATTAAGTGCCTACTATGTGAGAGTCATTCTATCAATAATAGGCACTTCACAGATATTTAATTCTATCAATAATCCTAGAAGACAGGTATTACTAGCCACATTTTCAAACTGGGAAATTTGCTGCAGAAAGATTCAGATTCTTGCCCACAGTCTAAGAATTTAAACTCAAGTCATCTCACTGTTACACTATAAATCCAGTGTACCCCCTTCATTCCGTCAGACTAGGGTCTCATCTGGCTATGCCAATAATCAACTGACAAACCATTCAGCCTCACTGGGCCTGAGTTTTCTCAGTAAACTTAAAGGGTTGAAATATTCCCTAAGTTGGTCTCCTTCATCCTCCTTCTCTCTCTCTCTCTCTCTTTCTCTCTCGCTCTCTCTCGCTCTCATTCTCTGTCTCTAAAATGTACTATTTTAATCCTTTTAAAGTATACAATTCAGTGGCTTCCAATACATTCACAATGCTGTGCACTAATTTCAGAACGTTTTCACTACCCCAGAAAGAAACCAATAACCTTTAAGCTGTCAGTCCCCATTCTTTCCTTCCCCCAGGTCTTGATAACTGCTAACCTGCTTGTTGGTTCTGCCTAACCTGGATATTTTATATAAATGAGACCATACAATATGTGACCTTTTATGTCTGGTTCCTTTTACTAAGAAAAATATTTTTGAGGTTCATATACATTGTAACATGTATCAGGACTTCATTTCTGTTTATGGCTCAATAATATTCCATTGTATGTGTATACTACTATTTGTTTATCCATTCATCCATTGATGGGCATTTGAGTTGTTTCCACCTTTTGGCTACTGTTATGTACTGCTATAAACATGCATGCAGATATACATATTTGAGTCCTTGTTCTCACTTCTTCTGGGTATATATCTAGGAGTGAAACTGCTGAGTCATTCAATAGCTCTATGTTTGAATTTCTGTGGAACTGACAAACTATTTCCCATAGTGGCTGAACCACTTTACATTTCCACCAGCGATATATGAGGGTCCTAATTTCTACACATCCTCACCAACACTTGTTATTTTACTTTTTTTTGTTTTTAATTATAGCCATCCTAATGGGTGTGAAGTGGTATCACTCTTGTTTTGATTTGCATTTCCCTAGTGATTAATGATGTTGAGTATCTTTTCATGTGCATGTTGGCCATTTTCATATCTTCTTTAGAGAAATGTCTATGCAAGTCCTTTACCCATTTTTTATTTGAGCTGTTTGCCTTTTTGCTGTTGAGTTGTAGGAGCTCTTTACATATTCTAGACAGAAATTCCTTACCAGGAATTTGCAAACATTTTCTCTCATTCTTTAGGTTACTTTTTCTTTTTCTTCATAATGTCCTTTGATGCACAAGTTTTTAATTCTGATGAAGTCCAATTTATCTATTTTGTCATTCGTGCTTTTGATATTATATCTAAGAATCCATTGCCATATCCATGTAAGATCTCTTTGGGCTGGAAAATTCCATCAGCCTTTGCTCATTCCATAAATAAAGTTGTATATGAATAATAATTCTATTTGTTTTACTGCTGAGAATTATAAAAGGGTTATTTTTGGAGTTATTATTATATTACCCTTACCAAGGAAGTGGCAGTATTTTAACTTTGGATAAAATGGCCCTTTAAAGATGGATAGGTTGGAACTCCTTGAGATAAAATGGAATAACGCTGAAAGAAACTGCATTTTTGCTCGATTATAAAAAGAAAGGAAGAAGTGGAAAGAGAGGGAAGAAGAGAGGAAGGGAGAAGATTCAAATAAAAAATTCCCAAGTGACCCTGGAACTAATGTGTCTGAGGGTCCTCTGTATGACAAACGACTCAAGGGAGCCTGCGGCTAGGGTTCCAGTTTTATAGCCAGATTCTCACTCTCCATCACGCCACCCACAACATACACCATATCCTCACTTTCCAACTGATCTGATTTAGAATCTATGGTCCATCACTAAAATCACTCCCTTGTACACAAGGCCAATCCTTTGTCCCTTTCTCCCTTCACCTGATACACTGGCAAAGATGAAATGCTGATTAAACCCAATTATCTACCTACTTCACAGTTGCATCACAGCAACTAAAAATGGATGAAGGAAAATGTACACCATTTCAACAGTTCTCATTTCAAATTCATGGTCACAAATCTCAAGTGGGCAATAAGCACTGGCCAGTAACAGTGAAACAGCCTAAAATAACTAGTTTGTTCATTTTCCCAATATCCAAAATAACTGTTTCATACTTCCTCCCCTGTTCCCAAACCTTCTAGACCTACCCACTACCTCAACTAATGACTGCATTCAGAAACAGAAGCAATCGGACACAGCTTCCTCTTCTACCACCCAAACTACCTACCTACTCCATTCTCTTTCTTTTTTCTGTTACAACAAATAATGTGTTCCCACTCTCATCAAAGTCCAACCCTTTCATTTGTGCTCTGGCCCTCTTATCATCTCACTTTCTCATGGAACTTGTATCCCTCTCTGTCCTGCAGCGTCAATTTCTCCGCAATGGATGTGGAATCGGCATACAAACCTCCTCTAGTATCTCCAGTCACTGAATCCACATTCCCCTACATTGACTATTCCGTTTCTGTTTCTTGAAGGAGTTACGTAGGTGGTTGCTTTCACTTTTTTGCCTCATTTTCTTTCCTCAATTTACTCCAATCAGGATTCTTTTGCCTCTCAATTGTGATTGAGACCACAATTACCAAGGTTATCAGAGAAGTCCATCTAACCAAATCCAAGTCATATATGTATGTCTGTTCTTCTCTTTCCTGGCCCCTCAACAGTATTCAATACCGCCCTCTGTCTCGAAACACCTCCTTCTCCTGCCCCACACAGTGATCACCAGTGACCTCCATGACACTAAATTCATTTTTTTTTTAAACTGCTATATAGTGATTGTAAGTTCAGGCTATTGTGGCAGGTGGACCTGGGTTCAAATCTTGCCCATATTACTTTCTAATATCCAATCTAGGGAAAGATACTTAACCACTGAGACTAGTCTTCTTAATCTACAAGCTAGGGAAAATACTAGTACTTAATTCACAGCTGTGAGGGTTAAATTAGTATCTTTTTATTTTCCTCTCTTTTACCTCTTACAGCATGTAATATTATTCACCCCCGACGAAATACTCTCTTGCTTTGGTCGCTGGCTGCTCCTTTCCCAATCACTGTGATAAGCTCCTGTAGCTCTACTTGCCTTTTAAATTTGGGAGTTCATCAGCTTCTATACTTCCTCCCTAAGTGACTAACCTCTTCCATCTCATAACTGAAATGATAATCAAAACCTCGATGATTTCCAAGTCTCAATTTCTAGTCTATAATCCACTCCCCACCTCACCAACTGCCATCCAAACAATCTCCACCTGGATATCTCAGCTACCTCATACTCAACATGCTCAGAAGATAAGCCTCTATCCTTTTTCATGTGTTCTTTCCTCTACCTGGATATCTCAGCTACCTCATACTCAACATGCTCAGAAGATAAGCCCCTATCCTTTTTCATGTGTTCCTTCCTCCATCTGAAACTCCCCTGCCTGTTGCAGTCTCCAACTCCTTGCTGTCAGTTTCCACAGTTCCATGTATTTCCTTTTGTAACAGTCACTAAACTTAAATATATTTACCGGCTTAATGTATGCATTCCCTTTTAGACCATAAGCTCCATGATGGAAAATAAAACCTGCCTATATCACAAATACCTTGCCTAGTACCTCATGCATGGTAAAGGTTTAATAAATGTTTCTTGAATTGAATTTGAGCTATTTTAAAAGTTGTTGCTTATTTAATTTATTGAACTTTAATTTATTGAATTTTATTTGTTCAGATGTCTAATTTACTGTTAACACTTTTATTTCAAAGTACATAAGCCACTCATTTACATTACTATCATTTCTAATCCATAAAAATACATTAAACAAAATTTAAAGGTACTTTTAAACATATTCTATTATGTTTGAGGAATTCTACAATTATCAATTGCCTCCAGATTTCAAAAAAGTAAAGAAGTTCAAAAGCTAGGAAAGACAAGTGAGGGTGATACTGTTTGCCTACTTTGAAATTTCACTATTTTTTTTTTTTTTTTTTTTTTTTTTTTTTGCGGTACGCAGGCCTCTCACTGTTATGGCCTCTCCCGTTGCGGAGCCCAGGCTCCGGACGCGCAGGCTCAGCGGCCATGGCTCACGGGCACAGCCGCTCCGCGGCATGTGGGGTCTTCCCGGACCGGGGAACGAACCCGTGTCCCCTGCATCGGCAGGCGGACTCTCAACCACTGCGTCACCAGGGAAGCCCTCACAAAATTTTTAAAAAGAATTTTAGTAAAAAGATGATTTTTTAAATTATGAAATACATGGAGTATTTTTTAAAAGATTTTCTCCTCCAAGTCGTTTTTATCATTTTCTCCACATGAATACTAACTTCCATCACACTGTGTATTAATATTTCGTTTTTACTCATCAAAAATACACAGTGTCTAAAACTATTTTTGCTAGCTTAAAAGTCTTATCCATAGATAAATGCAGACTTTCCATTAGGCAATCTAAAGTACAGAAAAAGACTTATACATACATACTCTTCACACGCATATAAGGGGGTTCATTTTGTGATACCAAGGAGCTATACACGTATTATTTGAACACTTCAATATACTTGAATACTAAGATCTTTAAGAAAGTCATACTGATCACAAAACTAAAAAAAAAAGAAACCACAATAAATTAAGGAAAGAGTTTTGTATTGCTCTCATTCAGAACACATGACACCTTAAAGGATACTATCATTGAGAAACTGATCACAATGAAAAAGGATACAAAACAAAATTAAGAATCAGAAAACTAGAGCCACAAAGCCTTAGGATTACTTAAATAAATAAATTTGATTGCAAAGAACCAGGCTTTTTTTTTCAAAGTATATGGGCAATTGTCTACCAAATAAGGGTTGTTTCTATTTACTCTAACTGCTAGAATATTTTATGAGATTGCTTCTACATGTTCTATAATAAAATAAAACACATAAAACAAAAGCTTCTTTAATGTGTATACTAAAGGAATAAAGAAATTATAAATGAGAGCGCTCTATAATCTTACAAAAATACCAGGGCTTTTCACTGGTCTCCTAAAATTATCCAAAATAATTAACTAGTTATCAAAGAACCTACTTTCGAGATAGTAATGTTACACTTTTCTCCAGAAGCTCTTATATTCTTTGAATGCCACCTTTGAGTGTGTGTGTTCCTAAAACGATTATGAAAAGCCAATTATCAAACTATAGTAAAGACCTTTTTTTGGTTTACACCCTTTCACCCAGTAATTACGCTCCTGAAGAATAACCATAAGTTCCAAGGATGCTTTATTCATTCATTCATTTGTTCATTCATCATTCAATAAGTGTTTACTGAACACCTACCATGTATTTATACACAAAGATGTTTATCACAATATAATAGGAAAATACTGGAAGCAAACTCATTATTTGACAACAGAGGAACTGGTAGGAAATTGTAGTAAGTCATAGCCAAAACGTGATGCAGTCAATCATTTAATATATTAATGATGAGTCTGAATATGGGAAAGATCTGTTACAGAGTTAAATGAAGAAAGCAGAATATAAAATCAAAGAAAACTTTCAAAAGAAAGTAGCTATTAAAAAAAAAGAAAGTAGCTATTGAATGAACACTGAAATAAAAGAGACTGCACAGTGGTGGTAAATCTGTGACTTTTTCTTTCCATATCTATAAAATTTTCAAAATAAACGTATACAACTTAGGTAATAAAAAAAGAACCAGAAACATCTTCTTTAAAAGACAAGCAATATTCATCAATCATTTCATTTCAAAAGTAAAAACCACTGACCTGTCTTAAAATTCTAAACCCTGAATAAAACCATCCCAAATGACACAAATAAAAGTATCTTGACACAGACCTGCTCATTATACAAAGCTAACTTTATAAATTTCTGATCAAAATCAGTGAGTAAAAAAGCCCAAGACTTCATAGAATGTCTTTTCAGATCATAAGATAGTATACTTTAGAAAATGAATAACTGCTATTTATCAAAAAAGAAAAAAAAAGTTCTGACTGATGAATGAGACTACCTTCTCATACCACTGAACAGTAATAACAGTACTGAACAGTAATAACAAAACTTCAATTCTTTTTCTTAAACCAAATGCAAACATCACTGTTTTTTAAAAAATCACTTATAACAGAGGTATAGGAAAAAAATGACTGGAAGGTCATATAACAAAACATAACAATGCTGTGGGTACTAGAATTACACTTGATTTTAATTGGCTTTTTTCCCCTATATTTTCCAAAATGTCCATTATAAATATATACACAAATATTGTAACACAGAAAAATAAACTTAAATTATCAAAAGAATATGCTGAAATATATTCACTATATAGATTAGATTAATAAAAATACAACATTTGTAAAATTTAGACCTGTTCATCAAAGCTGCTCAGAAAAATCTGAAGGTCCTTCCGAATCAGTCAATACAAACATTACCTTTAAGAAGATCAAAATACTTTAAATTTCTAATACAAAGAGTTCATGATTTGAACAGCATATGTGTGTTTTTCTCTTACTGAAAAACCTGTCATATATACAGCTAAGGATGTGTTTTTAATGATATACCCTATTTCTTTGTTCACGACACGTCAACATCAATGATGTCATACAGCCCTTACAATAAGGTCTGTTAATAAATGCAGTGTCTATTAAACTGAGACAACATCAAAACATACAACTTTACTTACCACATAAAAGAATATATGTGTCTTTCATTGACTTTAGTGTAAAATTGTTTCAATTTAGTCAAAAAGGAAATTTAGAATCCATGTAATTGTAGTTTTATGAAGAACAATAATAAAACAATCATTGCATTTTAGAAAAGCTTTCAACACCTTGAAACATATACACATATTACAGGATAACTGCTAAGTTATTAAATAAGCAAAATGATACAGTATCCTAGCAATAAATATAGCATAGGTCTCTGAAATAAAATTGCCTGACTTCAAATCCTAGCTCTGTTTATTAGTTAGGAATAACCTAGGAAAATAAACTAACCACTACATGTTTCCATTTCTCCATCTATCTATAAAATACAGATAATAATAAGAATTCATACCTGGAAGAGACGTTTTTTAAATATCAAAGGAGGTAATACCATATCTACATAGAGTAAGCAATTAAAAAAAAAAGGCTTTTTTCCCCCTTTTTCTCAATCTAAATAGAATTTGTCATACATTTTGAAAATAAGAATGAAGACCTCTAATTTTAAAAATTGGTATTAAAAGTCCTAAGTTCACTCAAGACCATAATTACCCTTCTGCAACCTGAGCACAATCCAATGGAACACTTAGATAAATGTTTAGAAAGTTCTCTTGTCAAGGTGACTTTATCTCAGTTGTTTCAAAAGAAGAAGAAAAAAAGAATGAAACACAAGGATTCTTTCTTAAAGGATGAACAAAAAGAATTTAGAATCACTGCATTTACAAAATATGATTGTCTTGAACAGCAAATTTACTGAGGAAAATGCAAGATTAGTAGTAAAATTCAAATATTTTAGCGTTTTTAGGATATTCAGTTAAAGTGTTGATGCCATCCAAATTACCAAATCTGTTACACATAAAATTGCTATTCTCTATAAAGAAATTTCAACTGTCTATGACTAGTCTAGAACCAGTTATGCTCTAACCTAACACAGCCATTCAACTATCTTTGGGGTTATTGTATTCTCTTTTCTCATAAAGAAGTTAATACAGGTGGCAGAATGTAACAAAAAAAATCAACAGTGTAGAAGGCTTTTTAATAAATTTCATTTTGGCAAATGATCATATGCAAATTAGCAAATATTGAAATCAGGATGATTTTATTTATTTGTTCTGTACATATCTGATTAATGGGCACTAATTTTGTTGATGATAACAAGAGAACTCTATTGTTATATACAGATTAGAAATGTAAACACTTAGCATTTCCCACAACTACTGACTTCACAAATTATTTTGAATGTTATTTCAAATAACACTGTGAGTGCCAGAGGTTAGGTAAGCAAAGAGCTCTACTGCCCCCTAATGAAGTAAAACAAAAAAAACAAAAAAGCCCAAAAACTCAGAAAACTTGTTTTGAGGTATGTGTGGAACAGGAAAATAATCTTACTTTGCTAAATGCAGTAGACAAACAGTAAGAAAATTAACTGAAAACAACTAGAATATCTATCACAATACTATAGGAAAAGCTAGAATCATCCAGTTTTCATGATAAAATTAGTAGCAAAACAGGAAAGCCTCGAGACAGAAATGTTCTAACAGAAAGGAGGCCAGTACAACAATGTTATCTGAAGTGACAGCAATTAAAACTTCACCTCAGGCTACACTTTTCATGTGTATGTTGGAAGGGAATGAGAAGAAAGAGATTCTTAGAAACCATGCTTTTCAGTGAATTACTGTAAGTTTTCAGTTCAGCAGCTCATACGTATTGTAAATACTATCAAAATATTCTCTTACAATTTGCACTGACTCTAATCCTCTCAGAATTATTTTAATATATGTGTACTTTCAGGATAACTACATTGTAAAACATAATGTAAATGTAAAACATTTGACGGAAAAAAAACCCCATACATTTGAAAGAATTTTACCTGTTTCCTGTTTTAAACAAATGTCAATTTCTTAAGCATGACAACTGTGTACTTTATGATACTCTGCATCATAAACTAACAAGCGATAACTTTTAATCTTCCTTTTAATAAAATTTCTCCCTTCCTTTAACAAATTTGGTTTTTAAAACATGTTCCATACTCATGTTCCTTTTACCTAATACTCTAACCTGTCTAGAATTCCTGAATTCTCATTCAGAACAGAGCAAATGTTTGGGGGAAGAGCAGTGTGTGGTCCTTAATAACAGAAGTTATGTAAAAATTAACATCAAGGAATCAGATATAACAAGAGTACAAAGAATAAAATACCAGATCATAAAAACATGGAGAAAAAGTAAAGCTTCCCAGCAGCAGTTCACTGAGGGGAACAGAGGTATGGTAGATAACTGTTCCTTTATAGCTAGGGCACATGTCCCTTGGAGAGGGCCTGTTTTTAACCAGGTTGACCGTGGTTGTACATTCCACTATATGTCTGTTGTTTACAATATATAAGAAGTAGGGACCAAATCCACAAAATGCCACAGGGGAGACAGGAACACAGAGAAAGAGGGTCACTTAAGTCTGCATACGAGATGAAAATATCCTTTACATTCCTGTGCTGCTGCTTTTCTCAAGTGTCCGTTAAGGAAAATGGTTCCCTAGCTCTGCAAGTCATAAGGGTAACCAAATGTTCATTCAAAATTTTAAAACAGCAACAGACAGAAAAATACAAATGTACTCCAGCCTATATCTCAAATGAGTTGGATCTCACATCTGTATAGATTTCCTGAATAATATGAATGAATTAAAAACATGACTCTTTTACTTGAAGCATTACTCATTCATTCCTACTGCCTAAAGATATAACTGACACAGAGAAATGTTTTGAAGACACAATAAAGAAGCTGGGAGGACTCAAGCATCCCAGAGTTAAACACTGCCAAAGTTATAATGCTTAAAGTATATCAAATATAGAGTCAAAATTGTATCCTTCCAAGCTATAAATTCCATTTAGCTACTCAGACTTAACATATGATAGTCACGAGAAATAAAGCAGTGAACGTATACCTGGAGAACGCATATATGTATGTGTGTATATAGGTGTGTGTTTTCCCTCATGGAAGAGTCTCAGTCCACACCAGTGAGTTTCCGGTTATTATCCTAAAGCTAAAGGAATGCCTTCCCTAGTTCACGGAGAGAAAAAAAAATAAAGGACTTTCCAGGCTATCCTTTCCCTCCTCTATTCTCAGAAGCATACATATGAAAAATATGATCAAAAATTAAAGGAAGAAAGAATGAAAGAAAAGGGAAAAGGTTAATTTCATCAAGAAATAAAGTTAGTGGCAGCTTTGGTTTAAAACAAAGAGATTTATTTATTCATTAGCCCAAGAAAACTTTTATTGATGATGATGAAGATGGCAGCAGCCAGCATTTATAGAGCATCATGTACTTTACATACACTGAGTATCTGATCTTCATAAAAGCCCTGTGAGACAGATATATTATTCCTGTTTTACAGATGAAGAAACTGACACTCATAAAGATTAAGTAACTTGCCCAAGGTTAGACCGCTACTAAATTGCAGAGCATATATAATATTGCAGTCAATTCGACACTTAACCATTAAGTTTATGTTCTTTTCTGGTCAAAATGTGTGAAATGAAATGATTCTTTGCAAACACTGTAATAAATTAATAAATTATACATGTTAAGATCCAATTCAATTGCCTAAAATTCTGTGGACATGTAACCTGAGCTAGGCACTGATGCCAGTTCTTATGGAAGACAGAAACGTACAAGACATAATAAACAGTGAAAGTGCTAACAAAGAAGTAATAATATACACATCCTTCAATGCCCATTATAAATAATAACATTTCTTCCACTATTCTCTGATCACATACAGCCACAGTAACCTCTTCTTCTTCAGATCTTCCTACCTCACTCTCACCTCTATTTCATTTGTCTTAAAATGAGACAGTCTCATTTATTTAAGGAAAAAAAGTCACTCCTCCTGCTCTAAGATATTCAATTGTAGTAAAAAATATATAAAAATAGCATTCAATGACAACTGAAATACACATTTCTCAATATGCTGTAGTATATTGTCCATAGCAACTCTTTTACCTTTGATAACATGTTCAGGTTTTCTTAAATTAATACTAAAGAAAAAAATCACCATGCAGTTTAAAACTAATCCAAAATTCTATTTTGTAATAGCTGAGATTTAAACACACACACAGACATACTATACATACACAAACAGAACTCAGGTCACCTTCATATTTCAGGCATTGGCTGGACAACATTATTCCCTCTGCCATATGTATGCAGCTTAAAACACAAAACACCCAGAAACATTCACAATTATCTAAAACATTAAAATCATAATTTTATATGACCACTACCAATTTTTTCCATTGCAGAATTGAAAAGACATTATAACATATTCTTGCAAGAAAAGTACCTTGTAAGACAACCTGTTTTTTCAAATAAATAACAAAGTGATATGTAAATCTGACATCAAAACTTGTCACAAAGATCTGTCATTTTGTTAATCTTTCATTTTAATTAAATTATGTTTAAACCTTCAATTCAAAGAACAAAGACCTTGCTAACAATAAAGTACAAGATCTAGTAAACAAAATACATCCTTTCAATGGGATACCCTTTCTTACCTTCGAATCCTCATTGCTCACTCCTAGCTGTAACACAGCTTGAGGAGATTTTAGTTTTGCTTGGGCAGAGTGAGCCATCTGAAGGTTAAGCTGCCATCCAACCGTCTCCAGCTACAAAAGACAAGCACAGATTGGAATCAGATGGTACAGAAAGAAGAAAACAGTCAACTTTAAGCAAATCTCCAATCAGCAGGAATGAACATGGATAGCCTGGACTCTGTGGAAAGTCAGTTCCAGGGCTCCTTTAACCTGCACACTCTGTACATTCTCCCTTTGGGCTCATTAGATTGGCCACGTGCCATGCCTGTCAAATTCAACAGTAAAACTGGCCTTTAAATACACTCTGTTCTAAAAATAAAAGTTCTGAGACTAAGCGATGAACTACACTAAAGGAGTCAATGGTTTTTAAATAGTAAATTACTATTTTAAAACAGTATATTTTAGGGAATTCCCTGGCCGTCCAGTAGTTAGGAGTCTGCGCTCTCACTGCCGAGGGCCAGGATTTGATCCCTCCCTGGTCACAGAACTACGATCCCACAAGCCATGCGGTGCAGCCAAAAAAACAAAAACAAAAAACAGTATATTTTAAAGCCAATGGTTTTTAAATAGTTATAAATTTGAACCAGTAAATAGCATATACTGGTGATAAGTACTTTAATGACCTCCTATTATCTTTCAAAACTCTTTGCAGTAAGTAGAACACGGTAGAACTTTTTTTTTTTTAAAGGGAAATTGAAGTGCCCAGATGGTAAGAGGTTCACACATTTAGACACAGTTAGTGAGACTGGAATAGAGCCAGGCAAAGAATTGATATCTACTAGTGAGCAGGTGTTATCATGCTTTCCAAAGTATTCTAACTTACTATGGTTCCCAGTTATGACAGAAACTAATTAGAATACTTCCTTTGAATTTATTAATTAACAACAGCAAAATTGAATCAGGAAGGCAAAAACAGTAAAGACACACTAAAACAGCTTAAGTTTCAAAATATTAAGCAGCATAAATGTGCCTTTACTGAACAAGACAGATTATTGGTTTCTCCAACCTCAAAACTATGAAGTTTTAAATCTAATTTCCAATAAATCTAAAGTATCAATATTTTTGTTTTGTGACATGTAATTGTCATATACCTCTGACAACATGACTCTAGTAATTGATTTAGTAAAACTACCTTAGCTACACTGGTAAGAATGGCAGCCTCACAACAATTTTTACTTAACTGGAATACTAATTGCTAACTTGAAAGACTGTTCAACAGCTAGAATCACAGCAGTGACTCAAAGCCAAATTGGAAAGAGAGCAATGAAAGTATTATCTATTCGAGAGAGGATGTGATGAGAAAATAAAGATACAATTCTGTACTTTCTGGCACTGAACCTTTTAGAGTTTATGGGTAAAAAGGGGGAAGATGTTGCAGAGACATAATCCATAATACCACAAGTAAAAGAATCAATTTAATGGTACATGTTAAGGATCCATAATGTACTGATCTTTAACACTGATTACAGTAGTAACATAGTCTCTAATAGCAGCCCACTACTTTCGCAACAGTCACATGCAATAGACCCTCCAATATAACAGGAAAGAACATGTCATAACTACTCTCATATATCCAAGCATTTTGATACACATCATCATCTTAATTGAAAAGCACCCTCTAGGTATTTCTATGGACCTGTAAGACACTGTTTTGATCTCATTTAACTAATCCTATCCCTGTCCTTTAAGCACTTAAGATAAATGACAAAGATAAATATTAAGTGAATAAACTAAAATATGGTCCCACTATGGTCAGGCCTTTGCATAAATTAATGTATGCTCAGTCACTGCACAGAGGTAGAACGGGAGAATTGAGATCACTGAACTTAAAGCTTATGCTTTAGTTCATGCTTACGCTGTCACTCACTAGCTAGGTGACCCTGATAGTTAAGTCACAATCTTTCAAGGTCTCAATTTCCTCATAAAAAATGGAAATAAATCTACCTGAATTATATACTTTTCTGAGTTACTGATAATATCAAATAAGAAAATGCATATTCAAATTGCTTTGGAAACTGCAAAGCATTATAAATATAAGGCATTTGGGTCACCTAATTTTTCCTACAGTATCTTTTTTTAATAGTATGTTTTAAATAGAGTTGACACTCTATATCTATCTGCTGAATTGAAACAAATCAAAAAATACAAGGAAAGGTAAATTTTTAAAACCATCATAACTAAAAAGAGTTCGTTGGTTGATGTTCTTAAATTCTAGAGCCTTTTCTATTGAATTCTGTGATTTAAAAATATTTGTCCCGGGCTTCCCTGGTGGCGCAGTGGTTGAGAGTCCGCCTGCCGATGCAGGGGACACGGGTTCGTGCCCCAGTCCGGGAAGATCCCACATGCTGCGGAGTGGCTGGGCCCATGAGCCATGGCCGCTGAGCCTGCGCGTCCGGAGCCTGTGCTCCGCAACGGGAGAGGCCACAACAGTGAGAGGCCTGTGTACTGCAAAAAAAAAAAAAAAAAAATTGTCCCATGCCCCCATGAAAGAGTAATTTTAAAAGTAAAAACAAAAAATTGCTAAACTCATATGTAGGTATATGCACATACACACACCCACTCATAAAATTTCATAGAAAAAGATCAGTATTCAGAAAACTTAAATGAAGAGGGAATAAAGGATAACTAGAATTATTTTAAAAAATACTTTGCAGTTTCACAGAATAGTAAGAAAAACAAAACTAACAAAATATTTACAGTGAAACTAGGAGACAACAGCAACACTACTTGAGATAGGTACTCTTATTATCCCCATTCTAGAGATTAAATATGTAAAATGTAAACAACTGGTGCATAGGAGTAAAGAGTATATGAAGATTCCTTATGTTATTATTCCCACTTTGTTTGAAATTATATCAAAATCAAAAGTTACAGAAATTAAAAAAAAAAAGTTACAGAAATTGATTCAAGTAAAAATCATCCATGGATACTAAATTTAAGTGGAGAAAGTTTGATTTGAAATGAACGGTCACAAAGTTTCTGCCCACAATTCCTTTTTAGTTGCAAAAGAAGAAAATAATTATGCAGTTGAAAAAAAAAGCAACATTTTAATCAAGAGATCAAAATTAACATCACCAAAAAGTAGCAAATGGACAGCAGGTGCCTCTAGAAATGATATCCTGCGAAGACCACAACATCATTTACATAACTTTCTAGCCAAAAATCATAACTAAATTTGATCATGAAGAAACGACAGAAAAAAACAGAGAAACACATAAAACAAGTGGAAGGTACACTTGAAAAACATCAATGTCCTAAAAGACAAAGAAAAGCTGAAGAAAGAAGGAATTCCTTAAACTGCTTAGAACATATATTATTTTCTGGGTCTATAATAGGCACTGGTAATACAAATATGAATAAAACAAAGGCCCTTTGCCAAGGTGAAAATCTTACAGTATACTATTTAATTATTCCTCTGAGACTCCTAAGAAACAAATATGATAGTCATCAATATTTAATTACATAGGAAACAAAATCTAGCACAGAATTTTGACTTAAGTTAGCTAAACTACATTTGCTTCTACTTAAAAGAAAATTCTGTATAGTGTATATGAGGCATTTGTACATTAAAATACCAGGAACCATTTTAATATAATTTGTTTTGATATCTCATATTCAAATTTAAATCTGAGGGTGTTTATACCTTAACCAACATCTTAAGTTTAAATGTCATCAAAATAACATGAAACACAAGGAAAATGAGCCACTAATATTTTTAATGTTTTCCAACCCATGCCAAAACTGTTTACATGATAGTTCTTAGGCATCTCATTTACATTACTTATTACCTGACAATGTCACTAACATGTCAGTTCAAAATATAAGGACTTCATTCTCCCTCTAACTTCCACATAAAAAAACTCAGCATAAGCTTAAATTCTCGTAATTGCTTTGTAAACCACAGTTCTAAGCATATGCAAAATTAGTCAAAATTACAATAATATTAGCTCTTTTAAAATGAAAAAGAAAATGTAAAGTTAATCACCATACTTTAACTACTGGATCTCTCAAACAGTAGCCTCTGCTTGGATCATATCACATAGTAAGAAACACTTTTTTATGTTGCAAACTGATATACATATACAAAAGTGTCACAAAACAATTTTTACCCAGAGCAGTAATACAGAATCTCTACTATGTTTCACTTTTAAAATACTAATTCAGGGACTCCCCCAGTGGTCCAGTGGCTAAGATTCTGCGCTCCCAATTCAGGGGGCCCGGGTTTGATCCCTGGTCAGGGAACTAGATTCCACATGCTACAACTAAGAGTTCACATGCTGCAAATAAAAGATCTCCCATGCCGCAACTAAGACCCAGTGCAGCCAAATAAATACTTTAAAAAATAAAATAAAATAAAAATTTAAACAATTTAAAAATTAAAAAAAATAATAAAATACTAATTCAAAACCCTCCAAATTGATTTCATTACTTACTAAGCCACTAATAGGTCAAGCTATCTATCTATAGTTAGAAAAAATACTGCTCAGAAATACTGAATGAGTTTTAGGAATTATGTGTATGGATATTCATGAAACAATTATTATTTATTATAATGTCATGAAAACACAAAGTAGAACTGTAACTGCTAAAAGAGAAAACAGTACCTATATTTTGTCGCTATAATCCATCATTCATTTTATAACTGGCAAATACTATAAGCAGAAATTCTGTATATATATGGCTTATTACACAAACTATACATTACTATTTACGCCTATGAAATATAAAACTTAGGAAGTTAACTAAACATTTAATACAAGAAGAGCATGAACCTACCTGTTTTTAAGGCTTAGCTAAACACTTGCTCTATAATTTCCTTGACCATTTCTCTTGACTTCAATGATTTCTTCGTATATAATCTACTGATTAATTATAGAAAATTCCCAACTTAAAAAAATTCTAGTTGGCTTATTCTTTGTTTTCTAAAATTATACACATAGAATAAAGCATGATATTAAGAACTTTTTCTAAATCTTTCATACAGGGGAGAAGGGCATTTTTCAATTCAATGTAATCTGCTTAATAAGGTTAGCTTTTAGAAGCATTTCTCATTATAACCCTGTATCACCAAG